GGCTGAGACAAAGGGGTCAGGAGTTCAAGACCAGCCTGGGCTACACAGTGAGATGCCATCTCAAACAAAGACAGGATATTTTCTAGTTTCTGTTTGTTGCTGTAATAAACACTCTAACCAAAATCAACTTAGGGAGGAAAGGATTTACTTGGCTTACACTTTCAGGTCACAGTCCTTTGTAGGGGGATGTCAGAGCAGTCCCTCAAGCAAGAACCCAAGGCAGAAACCATGGAAGAATGCTGTTTCCTAGCTGGCTCACAAAGGCTCATAGTCAGCAAGCTTTATTATACAGCCCAGGACCACCTGCCTAGGGAATGATGCCACCCACAGTGGGATGGATCTTCCAGCATCATTTAATCAAGACAACTCCCCCTCAGACATACCCACAAGCTAGTCTGATCTAGGCAATTCCTCAGTTGAAGCTCTCCTGTCAGATGAGTCCAGGTTGTGTCAACTTGACAATTAAAAATTAAAACTAGGACAATAATCAATGTTGGGGCTTCCTTAAGCCCAAGAAGAGTTACAATTTTATTTCCTCAGTGTCATTCCATGTCATACAGAAGAGACCAGAAAATTAACAAGGAAAACAAGATCCTGAAATCCACCCTTTAGAGAAGTAGAAAAAAAACTCATTCACTAAGATGTTTAGAATATTCAGACTTCAAATACTTCACTGTAATTTGCATGCTTTACGATATAGCTTGTTTTACCTCATTTACAATTTTATTTTTGCATCTTGAAAGAAATCAGATCATGTACAATGAGCCTCTTATTGCCACATAGAAAGATGCCAAATTATCCTGCCCTACCTTCTGCTTGTTCCTGATGCTAACTGCCAGCTGAGGTTATACAGAAGTCTCAGTTTCCGGGGCTGTCTAACATGTATGGGGCAAAGGAAGAAAGAGACTCAGTTCTTCCAAGCACTGAGCTATGGGCACCTCATATCCAGCACGATCACATTTACTCCTCCCACACCAGAAAACAGGTTTACTGCTCCTGTTCTATCCTGGAGCAAACGGGTACCCAAAAGCAGACAGCAGGGCAAACTGCAGCTGCCATACAGACACCCTGTCTTCTCACCCATCCCAGGAATACACTAGCAGAACAATCCCCATCCAAAGAGACAGAGGGAGATGCTAAATATCTCACAACTCATTTTCACAATACCTCAACTGAAAACATACAGGAAAGGAAAACAAATGTATAAATGCATTATCAACAAACATTTCACAGCTCATGAAGGTGTTTTTAAGGATCTCAGGTTTTGAATAAGTTAATTGTTTCTGTCACTTTGTGCAAAAGTAGAAGAGTTAGAACATTCTGCCAGTGAAAGCTATCAATCAGTCAATTCAATCGCAGGTTGTCGTCCAATCGTTCTTTATTATAATACACATAATACACAGCTAATGAATGGAGCTTTTCCAGAGCCCCACATACAAACCCTCTTTACGCTGTCATGATTAGGTATCAATCAAGGGTTACTTTATGTATAGTTAGTTGCTATGACAGAAAGAACTCAGGGAGGAGAGGGTTGTTTGGGCTCATAGTTCAGAGACAATCCACCATGGCAGGGAAGGCATGGAGGTGGGGGCGGCTCTCTCTGCAACAGGGTAGTAAGAGACTACTGGTCACAACGCTCTATCAGACAGGAAGATGCCAAGAACAGAAATGAGGACCAGGCTACAACTTCAAGACTTATCCCTCCAGTAAAGCTCCATCAAGTGAAAATTCACAGCCTCCCCCAAAACAGTGTCACCAGCTGAGACCAAATGCTATACACACAAACCTCTAAAGACATAAGATGTTGCTTCCTGGGAAAGAGAAAAAAAGTCTCTGGGAAACTGGGAGCCAGAGGCAACTTGAGACAGATACATGAGTTTGGGAGGGTTAGGTCTATATCTAAATCACACTACTTCATATAGTCCAGTAAAGGGCTTGGAAGTATAGTCTAGTGTGGATGCTTCCTGGGATGGCCTCACTGTTCAGTCACCATAGGGCGCATTAGCACAAACCCAGTGGCACAGCTGGCCACACCCTTACCTCCACGGCACATTTTGCCACACCCCTCGGCTCCTCTATGCTGCAGTCTGCACTGGCCTTGGCTTTACTACAGTTTGCTACACACCTCAGCTCCATGGCACAGACTCCATGGTATACTTTGTTGTGTTCCTCAGCCCCATGCTAAAACCTGCATAGCCCTCCTGGCTCCACAGTGGAGCCTTGAACTCTCCTCTGCTCCATGCTGCAGCCTGCCACATCCCTCAGCTCCAAGGTGCACACCTGAATAGCACACCACTATGCTAAACATTGTTGGCAACTTGATTAAAAATGAGCAGCCAACTGTAACACAACACAAGCATTTGCACAGCCAAATATATCTAAACATAGAAATGGTACTATAAAACCTCAACATTCAGGTTTTTCCTAAGGTTCATTGTGGGGTGGAGAAACTGCTCAGCAATTAAGAACGTTTACTGCTCTTGTAGAAGACCCAAGTTCAGTTCCCAGCAAACCTCTGGCCTCCATACACTTACACTTACACACACACACACACACACACACACACACACACACACATGGGGGGATTAAACTCCTAAGATTTTTTTCTACTTCCTTCTCACAGCCTCTCCTTGCTCATTTGGGGAGCAAAGTGACAGGCATGGTTACAGTGGGCAGAGGGCAGGGGCTGACAGAGTATATTGTGGGGATAAGCCAATATAGAACAACAGGGAAGATCCTGGTGGGCAATCTTTTCCTTGCTCTCAGCCATGTCCTAGAGTTCTACTCTACACCCCAAGGTCTGAGCAGTGGTCTCTCCCTAGGACTCATTCTCACCCCCTCAGCCCCCACAGTCACGGGGAAAGCATTAATGTAATGAAGCTGGAGTATCTTTTGGAAAAAGACCCTAAACAAACATCGAAAGTGTTATTCTTTTTTCCCCAGGCCTTCCCAGCTATTGGCAAAGAAGAAAGAAATATGAACTTGGCTTTCCTGGCAAGGGAGAAATGGAATCAGAGTCCTTAGGGGGCTTCCCAGGAGGCACCATGTAGTAAAATTGCAGTGATTTTGATTAGATAAAACATGAAACTTTTCTAGTCTGTGCCAACCACATTTTTCTCTTGAGCACACAGTAAAAGTTGAAAGACAAACAGAAACCAGGGAACATATGGCTGTCATTGCACACCCTTTCCTGAGAAAAAGAACAAGTATGCTGTTGTCTATACATAAAAAGAAACAAAGTTCATACAGGACATGTGAACAAATCTTGACAATTCTTCCAATGTTTTTAGGAACCCTGGAGATAGTAGGTGAGAAATAAAGTTATATTCCTGGGTCTTTTGATAAATCTCATTACCGTAAGTACTCCTCATGGTCAGCTGAGGTCCCATTGACCCAGAATCCCATCAATCTATGAGAATTCACAGATCCCTTATTAGTTATGTTTCTTGGTACTGTGCTCTTCGAACAGAAGCAACTTAGGGAAGGAAGGGTTTATTTGAGGGATTTCAGTTCATTGTGGTAGCATGGTGGTAGCTCATGATGGCAGGAGTGTATGGTAGACAGTCACAAGGAGAGGGTCTTTGAAGGCTATGCCCACTTTGGGATTTGGTCTGTGTTCTTTGCCTTCTGGTCAGCCACAATGCAAGACTCTCCACCATATGTTCCTGCCACCACCACCACCACCATGATGAACTCCAGGGCAACATAAAAAATAGATGCTCTGCCATGAGTAGCCCACAGTACTTTCTTCTCACCTACTCTAGCTGTTGATAGTGTGGGTACCAAGACATCTTAATCCTTCATGAAGTGTTTACTGAATGTCCAGTGACCAGAACACTTCACAAGGACACACTTAACATACAAGCTCTCAACATACAAGTCAGATGAAAAAGCCTGAGTCTTGGGCAGAATGAGAGCGGTGTGTGACTTACTGTGAACCAATGAATCCGTCCCCTCTACACACTCCAAGGTCCCAGATAGCTGCCCCCTCAAGAATCCCAGCCACTTCCCTGGGGCCTGTCCCTCCATGGAAGAAATCCTACAGCCACAACTCCTCCAATCTCACCCTGAGTCTTCTAGAAGCTGGAGAAAAAGCTCAGTGCAAGGTCCACCCCAGAAGTTCTGAGTGAGTAGCCACAGGCACACAAGGAAAACACCAGGAAAGACACTGAAGGCAGATGCCCTTTCTTTCTGACTTCTCTGACAAGAGCATCATAATTTCATTCCCAGCGTGTGGCAGGGATATTGAGAGGAAGGGAAACAAGTGAGGTCTTGGCTCCAGACATGCAAGGCACTGAGGGTATTTAAGTTATTCTAAGTCCTCTCCCTTCCCCACACACAGCAGAGTTCTTAAGGTGCCTTCCACCCCTGAAAGCTCCTCTTCTCCCTCCACCCGTGCCCAGTCAGCATCCCCTCTTTCTGGTCAATTCCTAGTCAACTCTCATTGGCCTCTGACCAGCTCCATCCTCTCCTGACCCCATGTTATAACTTGTCCTTCTTCTCTTGGATATTTTTAATGATGAGGGGTGTTTTGGGCACTGCCTGACATCTTGTGAATGCAACTCATTTCTGCATCTCGTCCTGGAGAGCATGAAGCCAGACAGCCCATGAAGATGCCATTACCAGCATCCCAGAGACAGAATCGGTACCTTCTTTTCTCCCCTGCTGCCCCCATGTGTGCCCAATTGGTATAGTCAATGGATCCATAAGTCAAGGGCAGGCAGGTGATGAGTTAGTTCGCTTCCTACAGAGGAGATCCTCCACCTGTTCCTGGCCAAACAATAAAGTTCAACCTACCACCAAGTGGTTGATGCTCCAAAGTGCTTCGAAATCCACAGACCAACAGGGCAGCAGGCTAGGCAGCTGTCCCAGAGCAGAGACTCTCAAAGGAGTTAACCACACAGCTCCCAGGGTGAAGGAGGCCGAATCCAAGATGGGGAGAAAGGAAGACAGATATCAAGGAGAAAGACAAAACTATCTACAAACAGATTCGAACTCACCTTTATCATAATCGCCATCCTCAACCGCTTTTTCTTGAAGTTTCTGAAGCTTTAAACTTGAGGAAGTGATCTGTATTGAAGGGGAAACACGAGAAACAAATTACGTGTAAGAAATTACATATAAGAGATAGATTACAAATAAATTCCAGTAAGTTCATTTTGTGAAATCTGGGAGCACCTAAAAACTATTTCAAGAGTGGGCTGTCAAGATGGCCCCTGCTGCCAAGCCTGAGGACCTGAGTTTGATCCCCAAGACCTACACAGTGGAAAAGAGGACCTGACTTTCACAAGTGTTCTCTGACCTCTACAAAAGTACCATGACACACACACACGCACATAAATAGAAAGTGTAGTAAAAAATAAAAATCCTGAAAAGCAATACCATTTTTAAAAGGGAAACTATTTTTAAAATAAACTTTTATTTTTGGGGGTTTTTTGAGACAGGGTTTCTCTGTATTGTTTTGGAGGCTGTGCTGGAACTCACTCTGTAGACCAGGCTGGCCTCGAACTCACAGAGATCCACTTCCTCTGCCTCCCAAGTGCTGGGATTAAAGGTGTGAGCCACCAATGCCTGGCTAAAAGTAAACTTTTATTTAAACTATTTTTTAAACACAGACACACACAAATATACAGTTTTCCAATGTCAAATGCATGTTTCTTTTTTTAAAAAAAAGTTACTTGGACAAAAAGCATAATTTAAGCATGAAATCCCCAGAAAGATTTAGAATGCTACAAATACCACAATGCTATGCCATTATTGGCAGGAAGGGCTTTGTGGAGAGAAGGAACACAGACTACAGGCCAAATGACCTCTCTGCTCTGCCCCTCAGAACATAGCCATGAAGGTAAACATGGGGACTAAAAGAGTAGCCAAGAGGAGGCTGGTGTGGACCACAGCTATCTCCAGGCCAGTCAGCCCAGGATGGGCTACAGCCCTGCTTGAAGGGTCCATATAAAGGTTCTGTCTTGGGCTGGACATGTAGTTCAGTAGTATGCACCTAGCATGCACAAGGACCTAATTCTATCCCCAGCACAGGAAGCATAGAACGGGAAGAAGAAAGGAAGGGAACGGAAGTGGAGAGCCACTAGCAGCCACCATGCCTGCCTTCCTTTGCAGAACAACTTCCTAATGGGCTGTGGTCAGCACCTGCTTCTAAACACTGTAGCTGGGTGCTGGGGAGATGGATGGGTCAGTAAAGTTCTTGCCTTGCAAGTGTAAGGACCTGGGTTCAATCCTCAGAACTCACACATGCATAGTGACCCATGCTTGTGATCCCAGCTCTGGGGCAGGAGACAGAATCCCTGAGGCTCACTGGCCTAAATAGTGCACTCTATAGCAGTGCCAGGAAGTTAAGTTGATAGATACCCGAGGTTGTCCTCCAGCCTACACACACACACACACACACACACACACACACACACACACACACACACACCAAAATAAAAGTTGCTTTGTAGGAGGATCCACACAGCCCAGGAGGAAGTGAAGCAAATCAAGGGAGTATGGGATCCACTTTCATTCTTTCCAAACCTCAGCTGATCGTCTTCCTTACCCTCCCAGTGGTTTTTTTTTTTTAATCACATTTATTTACTGCATGGCCAAGGGAGATGACAACTTGCAGGAGTCAGCTCTCCCCTTCCACCATGAGGGTCCTGGGAATCAAATTCAAGTTGTCAGGCTTGGCAGCAAGTGCCTTCACCCACCAAGCCATCTTCCCAGTCCCCCATGTCCTATTTCAAAGCAGACCTAAGCTGAACAAACTGCACTGCCGGTCAAAGGTCGTGGAGTACATCAGCGAGTGCATGCCATTAGCGAGTGCATGCCAGCACCCAAGCCACACAGACTGAAAGCAGAGAGCAGAGCACCCATGTTCAGATGCAGAGGAGACAGACACAGACCACGCCCCATCTTTTCAGTCAGCCATCCCAGGAGCCACTGCAGCTTCCAGGAACAGCACTCAGTGGGCTGCCAGCTCTCTGCCCCCACCCAGCGCTGAGTAACCATCTCCTGAAGGACACACACCTCCAGCTGCCTGCGGTTGCTCAGTAGATAGTCCTGTAGCACGGGCTCCCATTCGCTGAGCAGAGCATCCCATCCGCGGGTATCCGCCCAGCCGCTGCCCTGGTCGCCCCACCCACTGGCTGAAGGCAGATCCTGGGAAGAGAAGCCAGTGTCCGAGTAGGAGACCATGCCCCCTTCAGGCTTGCTGTTGCTCCCTGTCACCAAACCTGGAGTAGCTTGAAGACTGAAGGTCCAGAGATGTCGCGGGTCCTCATGGGGCCTGTCTGAACTGGATGCTCCGGCTGCCATCTCTTGGGGGCTCTGATGGAGGGATTCTGCCTCTCGGGACGGTAGGCAACCTTCTGCTTCTCCACGTTCTCCAGCAGCGCCAAGGGAGAGTCGGATGAAGCTAAAGCTGGAAGTAAAGGCATCTTGAGAGCCTGGAAGAGCTGGGATGTCAGCAAGGTGATTCAACTCTGGTGATGCCAGAGGCTTCACAGTCTTCAGGCCTCTTGAGCCCTCACTCGAGGCTACATCAAGGCTAGGGGCCAGGGACTTAGAGCTGTCCGGAGATAAGAACTCTTGCCAACATCCACTGTCCCCAGGCCTACATGGCCTGGTCAGCCTCTCAGGTAGTTTGTTGCCTTTTCTGGAATGAACCCCAAAGCACACTGGTGTTTCTCTCATAGAGCTCTGGTCTGGGTGCAAGTGGCCCACAGGGGCCATAGCAGGGGCAAGCGAGCTCTTGAGCAAAGGGCTGCCCACCACCTGACAGCGGCCGCTGGGGTCGAGGCCACACTGTCCAGCCTTGGTCTGTGAGAAGTGGGACTCCTGGCCTGTCAGCCCTGCCGAGATCTGGCATGACACGCCCACTGCCGGAGAGAGGAACCCGATGCTGGAACTGGCTGTGCTTCTCATGTAGCCTGGTCTCCGTGTCAGCCGCCGCCTCTGAGGGGCTGCTCCAGGCGGTGAGCCGTGCCCACTGTCTGAGAACAAGAGAAAACAATACATGTTACTGCCTTAGTGGGAACTGCATGTGGCAGACATGCTAAACACACAGGTCATCTGTGAGCACACCTGTCAGGGTACAGCATGAAAAAACTCTTAGGATCCCAAGCCAGGCATGGTGGGACACACCCATAAACCTGTACTTGGGTCAAGAAGGCAGAAAGATCAGGGGTTCACAGTCATCCACACCAACACAGGGAGTTCAAAGCTAGCCTGAGCCACCTGCTACCCTGTCTTTAAAAATTAAAGAAAGTTGGTACTCCTCTGCCGATGTCCAGCTCAGCCCAGCATCCCAGCCCTTGTTGGCAAAGAAGCAGGCCCTGCTGTATGTCTAACAGCATATCAGTACAGATCCTGGGAGCACAGCCTGGTAGTTCCCCAGCACCTGTCCTAGAGCCGACGATACATCGCATGACCATTCAGGAGAGGGCTTGGAAAGCGAGGCACCTTACACCAAGATATCAGCACGTGACTCCATCCTTCATTCCAGGCACTACCGAACAACACTTGGATTTTTATTATCCAACTATCCGTGTCCTCACTTTTCCAATGCATTCCAGGGGCCTTGTGACTGGCTGTGGTACAAAGGCCGCCCATCCTCCCACCTCATACAGTAGACCTGTATGAGTCCTCACCTAGCCCTCCTGAAGAAATAAGAACACTAACAAATGCTGCCACCTCACTGTCTGGTCCAAACCTGACCATACCACCTGCTGACCCTGTAACCTTCTACAAGCTACTCAACTTCTCTGTGCCTCAGTTTCCTCCTCAGCAAAGGGGTGTATAGAAGGACCCCTTGTAGAAGGTTCTTGCAAGCATCAGTATAAACAATTTAGAACAGGATCTGAAACATATAAGTGTGATAAAAATGTTAGTTACAGGACTGGGGAGATGGCTCAGCAGGTAAAGTATTCACTGTGCAAGCTTGAGAACCTGAGTTCAATCCCCAGAACCCAGGTAAAAAACGTCAGGCATGATGGAGCATGCTTGCAATCCCAGTGCTGAGGAAGCAGACACAAGAGGATTCCTGAAGTTCACTGACCAGACAGTGTAGCCAAATTGATGAGCTATAGGTTCAGTGACCAACTCTGCCTCAAAAAATTAAAGATAGAGTGTCTTGAGAGCTGGCTCAGTGGTTAAGGTTGCAACTAGGTACCAAGTAACCTTGCCAGCACCAACTTCAAAGAAATGGACTAGAAACGGGGCCTGTTCAGCCCCATGTTATGCCAACAGAGATGCCAAGGGCAGGTTTTCTAAGGCCACCGTCTTCAAGATGTAGATGGGCCTCTACTCCACAAGACCACTTGCTGCTCTTGCGGAGGACCTGAATTCAGTTCCCAACACCCACAGGGAAGCTCACAACCATCTGTAACTCCAGTTCCAGGGTATCCAATGCCCAGATCTGACTTCCCCAAGTACCAAGCACTACTGTGGTACGTATAAGTACATGCAGAAAATACATTTATATACATAAAGTGAATAAATCTGAAAACTATTTTTAAAAATTAAAAATGAGGAAAGACACCCAATGTTGACCTTCAATCTCCACATACACGTGGGCATGGACACACACAAATGTATTCTCATTAACAAGGACATACACCACACTCTCAAATACCACACCATATATACACACAAAGCTGAGTGTGGTGGTACATTCCTGCTACCACAGCTCTGAGGAGATAGAGAGACAAGAGGATACCTACTGTTCACTATCCAGACAGCCTAGCCTAATTGGCAAGTTCCTGGTCCCCAGGAAAGACCTGGTCTTACACACACATGGAATAATAATTACAAGTTTGTGATAACTCCTGAGGACCCAGGTATGACCTCCCAAAGCCTGGCTCAGCCCTGATCCTTGTCTTCTTCAAAGTTCTCCTTTCTCCTTTCTCTGGGTACCCAAACTGGGATGATAACTTCAGTGACAGGCAGCCAAAAGACAGGTTTCTTTTCCTTGTTAGATCATGGTAGCATGTTTGGGCCATTACAGCCCTGAGGTAGCTGATGTGAGGCTGATCATTCATGCCCCCTAGCTGTCCCTCTGTGTGTCACCTTCCAGGATGATGCTTACCAGATTATCAGAGCCCCACCAGCTTAGAGCACCCACCTGGGCTACAGAATACAAGAGGAAACAGAAGGAGCCCCAGAAGGACAACTGACCCTCCTGCCCCCTGTAAAAGTGACAAGAGATTTGCTAAAGAACCAGGAATCCAAGTTACAGAGAACACTGAGTTCTGGCTGCAGTGACCAGCAGAAAATGCTGACAACTTCACATCCTGACCAATGAGTCCTGGGAAACTATATTGTCTTCTGGGTTAAAAGACTTCTAATTATCTTATAACCCAAATACCATCACTTCAGTAGCTCTCATATTGTTCAAAGAGCAGTGCTAAGTAGGGAATAACTTTCCAAATGCTGTATGGTCTTGCCTGTGTCACCCTCCTGGGGTCCTGAGACCGTAAGCCCCTACTGCTCCAGCCAGAGCCCTGTAAGTCTGGAGAGCCACAGGCCTACTGCCCACAGGTTAAGACCAGACAAAGAAAAGTGTTTTCCTGACTAGGGTCATAGCTTCATGGTAGCACATCTGCCCATAATGCAAGAGGCCCTGGGTTCTAGCTCTGTTAGCAGTGCCCCCCAACACACACACACACACACACACACACACACACACAGTATTACACAGGGCAGACCCCTCTTCTGCAACTAACTGCAGGCTCTTATGTCCCATCCACTGTGGAAGTGACCATAGGTGTTCATTCTAACTCTCAGGTACTAAAGGGTAGAGGATTGGACAGGCCTGGAATGAACTAGAAGGAGTGGAAGAAACCTATACAGGGTCTAGATCAGGTTGCTAGGAAGATTTCTAGTCTTCCATAACCAAAGTGTGCAATCTATCCCCCAACACACACACACACACACACACACACACACACACACACTTTTCTTTTTTGTCTTTTTGTTTCTGTTTTTGTTTCACTTCTTTCCCCCTCAGAGTCTTTGAGGTCCCCTGGGAGCACAAATCAGGTCTCACTCACATGTCCTTCCTGAACCATGACCTCATGGGTTTGCTCTGGTCTGCAGCTGAGGAAGGGCTGCATTATGGCTCAGCTGAAGAAGGTCACACTTCCTCCTTACTGAGCATAGTTAGCTCCGGAAAGAGGCTCAGCCAGACAGGAAGGAAAGCAAGGCACCACCAGGGTGAGGCCCAAAGTGAGGGCTCTGTAGGGTGGCCAGGAAACAGATGTGATCACCCTGTTGTGGAAAAGCGAGGGATGACTTCATTCTGCCCACCTGACCTAAGAATATCTGGGCCAGGAGAAGGACCTGGAGCAGCCTCTTTAGTCTTTTGCAGACTTCTACTCCATAAGAGACAGATTCTGGGGAGCAGAGCACAGAACCTTACCTCCTCTCTCAGCACAAGCCATCCGATACAGAACCCTATCTCCCCCACCCAGCCCCATGGCTCTAAGATGGAAGAGAAGGAACAGACAGGTGCTTGAAACCAATCTAGATGTCAAAGGGCCTCTCTGAGGTCCAACAAGTCCCTGAAAAACCAGGCTGGGAGAATGTTGAGCGAGGGAGTTGGGTGCCTGGAGGAGGAGAAGGCAGGTTCTCCAGGAGGCAGCTTAAAATTCCATAACTAATGTTTCAACAACCTAGTCTCAAACTACTGGCCACTGCTCAGTCAAGATGAACCAGAGGCTAAAGATGGTCACACAGCTAAAGGGAACACTGGTGACAAGAAATAGAGTTGGTTGTGTTCCCTGGAAAAGGTATCCAAAGCCCAGAAGGTCTGCTCGCAGTGTTGAACACAGTTGGCTATCTCTTCTCCACCCATTCTGAGTTTGTGGCCACACAGAAAACCTTTACCTGACTACAAAACTTAAAACCAATAATCATAGAATTAGATTAATTATTTCTTCCTGAATTTCTCAATTGCCCTGAGAAGGTGAACTTCAACTTGTGCCCAAGGCTCTCATTATCCTGGGCTGAGTGCAGTGTCCATGCTATATCAATACAAACCCCTAGGACCAGAGCAGAGGACGATGCTGAGCTTGGTGGGAAGCGGTGACTGACACAAGTGCATCGACTGTCTGCCTGAGACATGCATGAAGCTCACTGTGCTTTGGGGAAAAGGCTTCACATTCAGCCCATGATGGCCTATTCAGTGTGAACCTCGAAGTGATGAGGAAGGTTGAGGCCATGTCTAAAGGCTTACTCTTCCTACGTTGCTATCAACATTGCAGCACAAGCTGTTAGAGAGATGGCTTAGCAGTTAAGAAGGCACACTGCAGTCCTAGAGAAATGGCTCAATGTTTAAAAGTACTTGATGCTCTTCCAGAGGGCCAGGTTTAATTTCCAGCACCCACGCAGTGTCTGTAACTCCAATCCCAGAGGATCCAATGTCTTCTTCTAGACTCCGGTACTCATTTGCACATAACCCCCATACCACGCATATACACATAATTTAAAATAATTTAAAAATAAGAAAGATAAGTAGTTAATATTACAGCACAGAAACACTACAAATAAAATAACCAATTTCTCCGCCATCGCCATGCCTGCAATCAACACACATGCACCTCCTCATGTGAGCACCAAGGTAGGGGACTGTGATAGCTGTTTTTCATTGTCAACTTGACTGTACCTGGAATTAACCAAAACCCACACCTGTGGGTACAACTCTGGGGGATTTTTTTCTAGATTCACCTTCTGGTGGCTCTTTGCCTGCTTGCCCTCACTCTCACTGCCAAGTTCACTCCTGCAGGGAATTAGAGCCTATTTCTTTGGGATTATGACATATACTGAAGGCCATCTGAGACACCCAGTCTTGTGGACTGAGGAACTACTGGATTCTTAGACTTTCCATTGGAAGACAGCCATTGTTGGGCTAGTCAGACCACAGCCTGTAAGCCATTCTAATAAATCACATTTTTATATAGAGAATCATTCTATCAGTTGTTTCTCTAGAGAACAC